CGACTTTTCTTGGTCGGACTTTTAGGCAATCCCATTGCAGAACGGGATGGATGGGATAAAATTTTGAGCAGACTCAAAGTTCTAGATTTCTATGACCTGAAATGTTATAACGTTAGATCGGAGGGTGAAACATTAATGTAGATACACGAGAGTTGGGACACTGACTGTGTAACACCAAGACATGCGGTTTGAAATAAGTCACTGACATTGATTTAAACAGTATTTTATTTCCATTAATGTTCAGATTTTACATTACATAGCATTACAAAATGGAAAAAAGGATTAGCAAACAGGCCCAAAAGGCCTATATTAATGCTTCTCCTAATATTGTCCATCATACATGTAGATTGTAATGAGTCTATAGAGCAGACATATATGAGTAACACAAAATGAAATAAAATGGAAAGCAAGATACCAAATGCATTTTATATTCTTAAGTTGACACATAACTTACGTAAAGCGGTCACTGACATTAGAGATGATGTTAATTAAACACACTTTTGCTTTCATATGAAGCATTATGAGAACTGGGGAGCCAATATGCAAGTATTACACGCATTCACACACGGAAGAAATTTATAGTTAATATTGTATATTTTTCAATCAATCTGAACACATGTATATCAAAATAGCAAATAAACAAGTCCATGGAAAATGCTTTGTTGCACGATAATGTTTTTTTGCTTTCACTTTGACATTATATATCGTAACAGAGTAAGAGAAGGTTTGGGATTCCTCTTGAAAGTACTAAAATAACAACTGCTGTTTACTGAACAGAGAGTTTTTATGATAAAAACATTGACTATTAATTTTTTCTCTCTTTTTCCAATGTAGTTCACTTCAAAAATCTTCTCTGTTTCTAAACTGTTAAGAAAAAATGTTAACATGATCACAAGGTAATGAGCCTTTTGAATGTTACCCTGCGAGATCTGTCAAATCCATCACAGATTTGACACTATCTACAGGTTCAGCCAATTTATTGTTTCCAATTTCCTCCACTAGTTATTGGAAACGTTCAGGAAAATATTTCCTTTTTCCCTTAATCCCATCTTTCATGCATGTAAAACATATACTCAGTGAGAGCTTTGTATAATCCATACAATAAACTAATGTTCATTCATTATAATATTGATGGGTGTAGGGAACAGTCCCTTTGAATTTTATGATTTAACACACACACATTTATGTACAGTTTGACAGATTATAATAATATGAATATAAAAAAGCATCACCACTTCCCAAGTTCACTACAATGTCACCAGTGGGAAGGTGTCACGGATAAACACGGATTCTAACCAAGTCTGATCTTTGTTTACCATGGAATGCATGAACTGGTTGAGTGACTTCTTTCCATCAGAATTACACACAGAGAAAGAGAGGGCTAAAAATCCTGAAAATATCCTGTATAGATGGTATTAAGTATTCACTACCAATTTCCTCTAATAATAAAATGTTCCATTTGACATCACTAAGTGCCAATACTCAGCAGGATCATTTGGGCAATTGTAAAAATCCCCTCTAATGTTCAGTGATTTTTAAGATAACAAATCCTACCTGTAGTCAGACAACATGACAGTCTATATTCATTTCCAATATCCTCCAGTAAATAGTGGGTAATGCCAGAATAACACCCTCTGAAAAGATACCTCTAGTCCCCCACCAAACCTCCTCTCATTAACATTTACCATAAACAAACAAAAAGTGGGGTGTGGTGAAATCTCAATTATTGAATATCAAGTTAACTATTTTCTCATAACGAAATACTAAATACTCTTATGGACCTTCTATTCTAAGAAAAACATCTTCTTGTAGACCTTTTAATTTCAACTGTTATATGCTACTTAAGTTTAAATGTATCTAATTTTACAGTTAAAAAAGGTGTTGAAATATGTTAATGAGTCAAATGTATTCAATATATCTTCACACGCAACGGTTGTTGCATTAATATTCATTTATTATCATCATCAAGTTTTAGGTTTTACGTCAACTTCACAGTCCTGTATTTCGTCGACGGGGTAGGTGGGGTTGAATAATAAATAATATGCTTATTTAATAGATATAAACCACCATACTTAATTGTGGGGGTGGGGAGTTAAATGTATTACATTACATTACATTACATTACATTACATTACATTACATTATTGAGTATAGTAAAGATTTATAGGTATATATGTTGACTATAAATTATAAATGATGTATATATGTAAATACGGATATATCAAATATAATACTAGAACATATGGATTTTGTTACAGAGAGAGAAAGTTTTAAATATAGATTAAATTAAGCCCTAATATATTAGTAATGTTAGATGCCGATATGTCAACAACACAGGTATGTCAACAACACAGGTATGTCAACAATGCAGATATGTCAACACAGCTATGTCAACAATACAGATATGTCAACAACAGGTACGTTAACAATGCAGATATGTCAACAACACAGGTATGTCAACAATGCAGATATGTCAACAACACAGGTATGTCAACAATACAGATATGTCAACAACACAGGTATGTCAACAATACAGATATGTCAACAACAGGTACGTTAACAATGCAGATATGTCAACAACACAGGTATGTCAACAATACAGATATGTCAACAACACAGGTATGTCAACAATACAGATATGTCAACAACAGGTACGTTAACAATGAAGATATGTCAACAACACAGGTATGTCAACAACAGATATGTCAACAACACAGGTATGTCAACAACAGGTATGTCAACAATGCAGATATGTCAACAACACAGCTATGTCAACAACTCAGATTTGTCAACAACACAGGTATGTCAACACAGGTATGTCAACAACTTAGGTATGTCAACAATGCAGATATGTCAACAACACAGGTATGTCAACAACAGGTACGTTAACAATGCAGATATGTCAACAACACAGGTATGTCAACAACACAGCTATGTCAACAACAGGTACGTTAACAATGCAGATATGTCAACAACACAGGTATGTCAACAATGCAGATATGTCAACAACACAGGTATGTCAACAACAGATATGTCAACAACACAGGTATGTCAACAACAGATATGTCAACAACACAGGTATGTCAACAATACAGATATGTCAACAACACAGATATGTCAACAATACAGATATGTCAACAACAGGTACATTAACAATGAAGATATGTCAACAACACAGGTATGTCAACAATGCATATATGTCAACAGCACAGGTATGTCAACAACAGATATGTCAACAACACAGGTATGTCAACAACAGGTATGTCAACAATGCAGATATGTCAACAACACAGCTATGTCAACAATACAGATTTGTCAACAACACAGGTATGTCAACACAGGTATGTCAACAACACAGATATGTCAACAATGCAGATATGTCAACAACAGATATGTCAACAACATAGGTATGTCAACAACACAGGTATGTCAACACGGATATGTCAACAATGCAGATATGTCAACAACACAGGTATGTCAACAACACAGGTATGTCAACAAAGTTGATGTCAATGAGAATATGTATCTGGCCTAGTCAGTGCGTCTATCTATTCAGTGGTGACTAGGAGAGTTCCGCTATGAGATATGGAAGAACTTCCTACCCTGTAGCAATGGTTGTAAGGACCAACAGGGTGACTGTGGTACCTGTGTTGACTGTACAATTGTCCTGTATGCTGACACTTGTTACCAGACTAAACAGACATATTGTAAAGTTGGAACCACACACCAACCTTATGGTCAGTATCAAGTCTAAATCTGGCCAGATCCAGAAAGCCTACCACACAAGAAGTTGAATTTTACAAGTATTTCAGAGTTACCTGAGCTGGGTCACCATTGAACAATTTCAATCACCGGTGACCTATTGCATGTATCTCTTTTCTTTTGTTGTTGTAAACTTAGACATGAATGACAATACATTCAATTTCCTCAATATGTCTTGATTATCTACATAATTTAGTTTCCAGTCCCATATTACATAGGCTCCCCTTCAATAGCTGTGTTGAGTTACTTACCCTAACCCTAACCCAGTCCCATATTACATAGGCTCCCCTTCAATAGCTGTGTTGAGTTACTTACCCTAACCCTAACCCAGTCCCATATTACATAGGCTCCCCTTCAATAGCTGTGTTGAGTTACTTACCCTAACCCTAACCCAGTCCCATATTACATAGGCTCCCCTTCAATAGCTGTGTTGAGTTACTTACCCTAACCCTAAGTTTCCAGTCCCATATTACATAGGCTCCCCTTCAATAGCTGTGTTGAGTTACTTACCCTAACCCTAACCCAGTCCCATATTACATAGGCTCCCCTTCAATAGCTGTGTTGAGTTACTTACCCTAACCCTAAGTTTCCAGTCCCATATTACATAGGCTCCCCTTCAATAGCTGTGTTGAGTTACTTACCCTAACCCTAACCCAGTCCTATATTACATAGGCTCCCCTTCAATAGCTGTGTTGAGTTACTTACCCTAACCCTAACCCAGTCCCATATTACATAGGCTCCCCTTCAATAGCTGTGTTGAGTTACTTACCCTAACCCTAACCCAGTCCCATATTACATAGGCTCCCCTTCAATAGCTGTGTTGAGTTACTTACCCTAACCCTAAGTTTCCGGTCCCATATTACATAGGCTCCCCTTCAATAGCTGTGTTGAGTTACTTACCCTAACCCTAACCCAGTCCCATATTACATAGGCTCCCCTTCAATAGCTGTGTTGAGTTACTTACCCTAACCCTAAGTTTCCGGTCCCATATTACATAGGCTCCCCTTCAATAGCTGTGTTGAGTTACTTACCCTAACCCTAAGTTTCCGGTCCCATATTACATAGGCTCCCCTTCAATAGCTGTGTTGAGTTACTTACCCTAACCCTAACCCAGTCCCATATTACATAGGCTCCCCTTCAATAGCTGTGTTGAGCTACTTACCCTTACCCTAACCCTATCCCTAACCCAGTCCCATATTACATAGGCTCCCCTTCAATAGCTGTGTTGAGTTACTTACCCTAAAACTCATTTCGAGGTTCTCGCCACCCCAGATGTCCATCCCCTCGTCATATGACCCAGTTTCATAAAAGTAGTCTCGGTGGATGGAGAACAGACCGCCAGCCATTGTGGGTGTCCTGGCAACAGAAGTAACCATAGTAACGATGGAAATGGTGTCCTAGAAGCAAAAAGTATGACAGTTATGATATATGTATGAATTCTCTGACAACCTAGGTTCATGTCATGGCACTACCTAAATCATGAAATTAATATGACTGCTGACACCTAGCCAAAAATGCAAATCAAAATTTATGCGACCCTGGAGTGGTCAATGATGCCTAGTTTGACACGAGTGGGTATAACTCTTGACCTCAGCAGTGATAACTCACCGGATGCCTATTGTGTAATTCCTATTTGTTGCATGATATTGTTATATACTTGTTACCACTGCTGCTCAATAAACCACTTGTTTTTATTCAAGTTGCTATTTCCACTATTCAAAGTGTGCAGTGAGGCTGTCTTATTGTTGATAGTCATTTTGGAGACATAAATGCGAAGTTTCATCAATGCGAACAAAGACCACTCACATTTTTTTGCATTTAATTCACACTCGCAATAATTTTAAGATTTAAGTATCTGATCATGGTCGCTGTAAATGAATGTGTGTTGGTGTGATGTGCCGATCAGTTCCACACACGGTTTTGCCCAAAGTAGTATATCATATTTTCTTGTGCATAGTGCAGACTTTTTTCCCAAAACACACATCTGTGTAGAAGCGTTATACACGCCATAATGAGTTTTGATGTTTTTTGTCCCCAACACAAAGGACATTACTGTGAGCACGTAAATTTCTATGAATATTGTTTAAATTAAAATTTGGCGAAATTGAGTGTGAAGTAATCAGTAGATTGCACAACTCAACATTATTTACAGCAACCACGGTCAGATTACCGCTAATGACACCTTGAAACGAACTTTAGTTGACATGGAATGGACACGTGTATCATAAATGCCATACTTTGACTCGTTAAAAGTCATATTTGTTGTAGTTTTACAATTCTATGTCAACATATATAGCTCTTGCGATCACGAGCGCAGGCACCTCGACAGTGACTGGTCAAATTGTTCAGTCTGAAAAAAAATATCCGGCAATAGCGATCAGCTGCACCAAAGTGTTAGGCTTATGGTCAGTTTTATTAAATATATTTAGTAAAAGCTGCAACTAAAATGTCACGATATTGGAATATATTATTCCTGATAAACTAATAGTTTCATGTACAATTTTTTCCGATCATTGCATCAAGTTTTAACCGAATCATCGGTAGATTCCAAGAAAATGTATACAGCTGATTGCTGATTAGTCTACGAAAAAATACACACAGTAATCTTAATCACTGTATGTAAAACAATGCCTAGCAGAACAAAAAATACAATTGAAATGGTAAATCAACATGTCTGGTGATTTTTTTATCTCAAATTTCAAATTTGTACTGACCAAATTTTTATCACCACTTCCTTTACCTGATTTTGCTAAAGGGGTAAGGTAAAAAAAAATTCTGCACATAATACTTGAAAAATCTTTTTTCCAAAATACTGAATCCCCTAGAGGTGGATGCACATTATACTTGGGTGCGCACTATACTCAAGAAAATACGGTTAACAATATTAAATATAATTTGGATAAAAATCTACAAAACAGATTAACAACATCAAGTCGTAGTGAACACTCTATATAACCATACAGTGTAGTAACGGTACTAAATGTGTTTACTGCAGTACAGACTGGTTATCTACTTATCTATGGACAAGTAGTGACAGCAAATCCAGGGGGTCGGGCAATGGTATCTTTGAATCCCTGGTTTAGTCAAACAGCAAGGCAACAGGTCACAATAGGTTAACTTTAACTAACACAGCACACACGGCAAATATTCAGATTATTATAAATTAATCTCTTTCATTCTTCTTTTCCCATCTACTGCACAGATGTCCCCAAAACATCTGTTAGTGAACAAAAAAGAAAAGTCTGGCCTAATGACAAATACATACACAGTACTCTGGTGCCATATCTGTAATGTGAGTGTATGTAGGGAGGTAACTCTGCCCACCTTGTAGGCTGACTACGGTCACCACCCCGTCTCTCCAGCTCTCTCTGGGGCACAGGGTACCAGCGGAAGTTGAGTTTCCAGTTGAAGCCTCCCCACGTCATGTCCGACCCGGTGATGTACTCGAACGTGTCGTCACTGATAACATCAATGATTGGACACACGACAGACTTCCTGCAAACACATCAGCACGTATCATGTTACTTTTGTTCTAGTTCATCTCATTACATGTAATCCACGTTAGAACCTAACAGTGCACGACCGACCACTGACCACTTGGTATCGGGATTGGGTAGGTTGGGGAGTGGGGGGTGCTGACCACTTGGTATTGGGTGGGGTAGGTTGGGGAGTGGGGGTAGGGGTGCGGACCACTTGGTATTGGGTGGGGTAGGTTGGGGAGTGGGGGTAGGGGTGCGGACCACTTGGTATTGGGTGGGGTAGGTTGGGGAGTGGGGGGTAGGGGTGCGGACCACTTGGTATTGGGTGGGGTAGGTTGGGGAGTGGGGGTAGGGGTGCTGACCACTTGGTATTGGGTGAGGTAGTTTGGGGAGTGGGGGGTATGGGTGCTGACCACTTGGTATTGGGTGGGGTAGGTTGGGGAGTGGGGGGTAGGGGTGCTGACGACTTGATATTGGGTGGGGTAGGCTGGGCAGTGGGGGGTAGGGGTGCTGACCACTTGGTATTGGGTGGGGTAGGTTGGGGAGTGGGTTAGGTTGGGGAGTAGGGTAGGTTGGGGAGTGGGGGGGTAAGGGTGCTGACCACTTGGTATTGGGTGGGGTAGGTTGGGGAGTGGGGTAGGTTGGGGAGTGGGGGGGTAGGGGTGCTGACCACTTGGAATTGGGTGGGGTAGGTTGGGGAGTGGGGGGTAGGGGTGCGGACCACTTGGTATTGGGTGGGGTAGGTTGGGGAGTGGGGGTAGGGGTGCTGACCACTTGGTATTGGGTGAGGTAGGTTGGGGAGTGGGGGGTATGGGTGCTGACCACTTGGTATTGGGTGGGGTAGGTTGGGGAGTGGGGGGTAGGGGTGCTGACGACTTGATATTGGGTGGGGTAGGCTGGGCAGTGGGGGGTAGGGGTGCTGACCACTTGGTATTGGGTGGGGTAGGTTGGGGAGTGGGTTAGGTTGGGGAGTAGGGTAGGTTGGGGAGTGGGGGGGTAAGGGTGCTGACCACTTGGTATTGGGTGGGGTAGGTTGGGGAGTGGGGTAGGTTGGGGAGTGGGGGGGTAGGGGTGCTGACCACTTGGAATTGGGTGGGGTAGGTTGGGGAGTGGGGGGTAGGGGTGCTGACGACTTGATATTGGGTGGGGTAGGCTGGGCAGTGGGGGGTAGGGGTGCTGACCACTTGGTATTGGGTGGGGTAGGTTGGGGAGTGGGTTAGGTTGGGGAGTAGGGTAGGTTGGGGAGTGGGGGGGTAAGGGTGCTGACCACTTGGTATTGGGTGGGGTAGGTTGGGGAGTGGGGTAGGTTGGGGAGTGGGGGGGTAGGGGTGCTGACCACTTGGAATTGGGTGGGGTAGGTTGGGGAGTGGGGGGTAGGGTTGCGGACCACTTGGTTTTGGGTGGGTCAGGTTTGGGAGTGGGGGGTAGGGGTGCTGACCACTTGATATTGGGTGGTGTAGGTTGGGGAGTGGGGGGTAGGGTTGCGGACCACTTGGTATTAGTTGGGGTAGGTTGGGGAGTGGGGGGTAGGGTTGCGGACCACTTGGTATTGGGTGGGGTAGGTTGGGGAGTGGGGGGTAAGGGTGCTGACCACTTGGTATTGGGTGGGGTAGGTTGGGGAGTGGGGTAGGTTGGGGAGTGGGGGGTAGGGGTGCTTACCACTTGATATTGGGTTGGGAAGGTTGGGGAGTGGGGGGTAGGGGTGCTGACCACTTGGTATTGGGATTGGGTAGGTTGGGGAATGGGGGGTAAGGGTGCTGACCTCTTGGTATTGGGTGGGGTAGGTTGGGGAGTGGGGTAGGTTGGGGAGTGGGGGGTAAGGGTGCTGACCACTTGGTATTGGGTGGGGTAGGTTGGGGAGTGGGGGGTAAGGGTGCTGACCACTTGGTATTGGGTGGGGTAGGTTGGGGAGTGGGGGGTGCTGACAACTTGGTATTGGGTGGGGTAGGTTGGGGAGTGGGGGTAGGGGTGCGGACCACTTGGTATTGGGTGGGGTATGTTGGGGAGTGGGGGGTAGGGGTGCGGACCACTTGGTATTGGGTGGGGTAGGTTGGGGAGTGGGGGTAGGGGTGCTGACCACTTGGTATTGGGTGAGGTAGGTTGGGGAGTGGGGGGTATGGGTGCTGACGACTTGATATTGGGTGGGATAGGCTGGGCAGTGGGGGGTAGGGGTGCTGACCACTTGGTATTGGGTGGGGTAGGTTGGGGAGTGGGTTAGGTTGGGGAGTAGGGTAGGTTGGGGAGTGGGGGGGTAAGGGTGCTGACCACTTGGTATTGGGTGGGGTAGGTTGGGGAGTGGGGTAGGTTGGGGAGTGGGGTAGGTTGGGGAGTGGGGGGGTAGGGGTGCTGACCACTTGGAATTGGGTGGGGTAGGTTGGGGAGTGGGGGGTAGGGTTGCGGACCACTTGGTTTTGGGTGGGTCAGGTTTGGGAGTGGGGGGTAGGGGTGCTGACCACTTGATATTGGGTGGTGTAGGTTGGGGAGTGGGGGGTAGGGTTGCGGACCACTTGGTATTGGTTGGGGTAGGTTGGGGAGTGGGGGGTAGGGTTGCGGACCACTTGGTATTGGGTGGGGTAGGTTGGGGAGTGTAAGGGTGCTGACCACTTGGTATTGGGTGGGGTAGGTTGGGGAGTGGGGTAGGTTGGGGAGTGGGGGGTAGGGGTGCTTACCACTTGATATTGGGTTGGGAAGGTTGGGGAGTGGGGGGTAGGGGTGCTTACCACTTGATATTGGGTTGGGAAGGTTGGGGAGTGGGGGGTAGGGGTGCTGACCACTTGGTATTGGGATTGGGTAGGTTGGGGAATGGGGGGTAAGGGTGCTGACCTCTTGGTATTGGGTGGGGTAGGTTGGGGAGTGGGGGGTAAGGGTGCTGACCACTTGGTATTGGGTGGGGTAGGTTGGGGAGTGGGGGGTGCTGACCACTTGGTATTGGGTGGGGTAGGTTGGGGAGTGGGGGTAGGGCTGCGGACCACTTGGTATTGGGTGGGGTAGGTTGGGGAGTGGGGGGTAGGGGTGCGGACCACTTGGTATTGGGTGGGGTAGGTTGGGGAGTGGGGGTAGGGGTGCTGACCACTTGGTATTGGGTGAGGTAGGTTGGGGAGTGGGGGGTATGGGTGCTGACGACTTGATATTGGGTGGGGTAGGCTGGGCAGTGGGGGGTAGGGGTGCTGACCACTTGGTATTGGGTGGGGTAGGTTGGGGAGTGGGTTAGGTTGGGGAGTAGGGTAGGTTGGGGAGTGGGGGGGTAAGGGTGCTGACCACTTGGTATTGGGTGGGGTAGGTTGGGGAGTGGGGTAGGTTGGGGAGTGGGGGGGTAGGGGTGCTGACCACTTGGAATTGGGTGGGGTAGGTTGGGGAGTGGGGGGTAGGGTTGCGGACCACTTGGTTTTGGGTGGGTCAGGTTTGGGAGTGGGGGGTAGGGGTGCTGACCACTTGATATTGGGTGGTGTAGGTTGGGGAGGGGGGGGTAGGGTTGCGGACCACTTGGTATTGGTTGGGGTAGGTTGGGGAGTGGGGGGTAGGGTTGCGGACCACTTGGTATTGGGTGGGGTAGGTTGGGGAGTGTAAGGGTGCTGACCACTTGGTATTGGGTGGGGTAGGTTGGGGAGTGGGGTAGGTTGGGGAGTGGGGGGTAGGGGTGCTTACCACTTGATATTGGGTTGGGAAGGTTGGGGAGTGGGGGGTAGGGGTGCTGACCACTTGGTATTGGGATTGGGTAGGTTGGGGAGTGGGGGGTAAGGGTGCTGACCTCTTGGTATTGGGTGGGGTAGGTTGGGGAGTGGGGGGTAAGGGTGCTGACCACTTGGTATTGGGTGGGGTAGGTTGGGGAGTGGGGGGTAAGGGTGCTGACCACTTGGTATTAGGTGGGGTAGGTTGGGGAGTGGGGTAGGTTGGGGAGTGGGGGGTAGGGGTGCTTACCACTTGATATTGGGTTGGGAAGGTTGGGGAGTGGGGGGTAAGGGTGCTGACCACTCGGTATTGGGTTGGGTAGGTTGGGGAGTGGGGGGTAGGGGTGCTGACCACTTGGTATTAGGTGGGGTAGGTTGGGGAGTGGGGGGTAGGGGTGCTGACCACTTGATATTGGGTTGGGAAGGTTGGGGAGTGGGGGGTAGGGGTGCTGACCACTTGGTATTGGGTGGGGTAGGTTGGGGAGTGGGGGGTAGGGTTGCTGACCACTTGATATTGGGTTGGGAAGGTTGGGGAGTGGGGGGTAGGGGTGCTGACCACTTGATATTGGGTGAGGTAGGTAGGGGAGTGGGGGGTAGGGGTGCTGACCACTTGGTATTGGGTGGGGTAGGTTGGGGAGTGGGGGGTGCTGACCACTTGGTATTGGGTGGGGTAGGTAGGGGAGTGGGGGGTAGGGGTGCTGACCACTTTGTATTGGGATTGGGTAGGTTGGGGAGTGGGGGGTAGGGGTGCTGACCACTTGGTATTGGGTGGGGTAGGTTGGGGAGTGGGGGGTAGGGGTGCTGACCACTTGGTATTGGGTGGGGTAGGTTGGGGAGTGGGGGGTAGGGGTGCTGACCACTTGGTATTGGGTGGGGTAGGTTGGGGAGTGGGGGGTGCTGACCACTTGGTATTGGGTGGGGTAGTTAGGGGAGTGGGGGGTAGGGGTGCTGACCACTTCGTATTGGGATTGGGTAGGTTGGGGAGTGGGGGGTAGGGGTGCTGACCACTTGGTATTGGGTGGGGTAGGTTGGGGAGTGGGGGGTAGGGGTGCTGACCACTTGGTATTGGGTGGGGTAGGTTGGGGAGTGGGGGGTGCTGACCACTTGGTATTGGGTTGGGAAGGTTGGGGAGTGGGGGGTAGGGGTGCTGACCACTTCGTATTGGGATTGGGTAGGTTGGGAGGGGTGGATGTGGAGGGTAATAGGGGAGACTTGGGTAGATGATTGGTGTGTTTAGACACAGATCATCATCTAAACACACATCAATCATCTCACATAGTCTCTCACACAAGCAAGAGGGACACACGCTCACCTGTTCTTGTGGATCTCATACAGCAAGGGCTCCAGCCACCCCTCCGTACACTCGCAGTGAGCATCCAGGAACGTGATGACGTCTCCGCGAGCCTCCTTCGCTCCTGTCACAGAGAGCAGGGAATACAATGAAGACAAATCAGACCCAGACCCTAACAAGTGTGACAAAAACTCCCTGGATGTTCTCACATCGCTCCTGTCATACACAGGTCATACAGGGCTGATCTGGGTGTTAGGAAACTCCCATGCAACATCATTGATCCCCGTTACGTGCTCTACTAGCTGAATCTCATCATAATCATTCCACCATCTTTTTCATTAACATCATTAACATCATTATCATCATCTTTCATCGTTAACATCGTTAACATCGTTATCATCGTTATCATCATTTTTCATCATCATGTCCTGTTACAGTATCTCATCCAGCCTGTCCTTCGTTCTACTGGACCTTGTCCTTCCCACATTGGGATGCTAACATTCTGGCTATCATTTTTATCACTGGCTATCTCTTTTTAATGTCAGCTCCTTGCCCTTTTCATGATATAATCTCATTTATGAATATGGTCCTAATTACTTCCATTCATGTAATCAGAGCAACCATCTAAAGTTGTTCATGGAATGTCTCTGACGGCCACCAATAGGACAAAGCTACCTACCTTTCAACCGGGCCCTTATCAAACCAGTTCTTTCAAATGACCTTAGGACTTTCACTTTTACACTCAAGGTTTTTGCATAATCATCCAGATCTTTTCCCAAGTGGTCTGAAACAACAAGCAGTGAGTGACTACATTGCCTTAAAAAGAAACTCCCTTATATGACTGCCTGGCTACTCAGTGTGGGAGTCCAAAGTCCACGTGAAGCAGGCTGGTGAAACCCAGGAGCACCAACAAATGATCATGTTACACTTAGAGACTGTTACATCAAAGAACCATTCTATGCAACTTTCAACTTGCTAATAGCGATAATGACAAATGCCTTTCCAAGATACAGGCCCTCCTATCTATTGGAACAAAAAGCGTTGAATGGGTTTAAAATGAAGCTTCTGCATTGGAATCTAATGCATTTTTTATGCGAACGAAAAGAAACACTATCAGATTTGAAATTGGTTGCTAGTGGAATACGTGCACAGCCGCTATGGTAAACTCGGTCAAATGCAACGCAATAACTTCGGCTATATCCAGGAAAAGCCGATCCTAGTTAATTGACAACACCATTTCCTGAAAAACAGCGTGCGACAAATGGTGGCAGTAAACAAATAAGTGACTAGCGAAGTAATTTCGCTTCGTTAATCTGACTCGGAGTCTTGGCTATAAAGCATTAAATCCATGGCACTGAGCAACTAGTATTCAAATACACCAGAATTTGTTATCCAAAGTTGGAGCCGTATTTTCTTGCATCAGTTCTCGCAAATAAATGGGCAGTGGCCAGGTATGGTGTCCGAACATGCTGAAGATGCCTGACATCTTGTCCATCAGTACACCAGATCCCAGCAATCCTGGCAGTTGTGTGGTTACCAAAACACACACATCGGGAGCTGGTAATAGTATATGTTAATAAAATACATATAAATTAATATTATTGTTTAAGTGCTAATCAGCCACAGACAAATTCCTTACTGTTGACATTGACTAACAGAATGCTTTCCTAGCCCTGTTATATCAACAATTATTGGGCAAATACTATATCTAGCTCTAAGATGTAACACTGAATGAACTTATGGGTGAAGTAATTTATCTAGCTCAATGACTGATGAGCTTTCCAGTCGACTCCCATCAAAATACATCGATAATGCATACAGAATACATTTTTGCTGAAAATGAACAATCTGTATCAAAGGGGAATATAATTGACGTTCAATGCGCATTAACTTCTTCAAAAGAATTATATTCTCTGGAAACAAATGTTGATTAGAACTACTGTCAGGCATGTTTCGCATGCTGTGGCAACAGTTAGTGTTGTTGTAGTTCAGCAAAATGCGCAATTTAACTGATATAACCGAGTGTGTTCAGTTGCCGATGCTGTCGGTTACAATAGCGGCTATGTGGTGATTCTAATGAGAACCATTGTTACGACGATAGTTACTGCATTTATATCGTATTTGAAACAATCCTTTGCACTTGGTACCTATACCTATTGCTTACATTATTTCTAATAATGCTTCTTTTCATTCAAACAGATAGGAGAGCGTGAAGATGTATGACTACCTTTCTCGCTCGCATCATCCACTAAGATGATCTCCTGGAGCAGTTGCCTTGGCGACCGGTTGATGATGCTGTGGACCGTCCGGAGAAGGGTTGACCAGGCCTCGTTGTGGAAGACGATGACCACGCTGGTGGTGGGTAGATCTTCCAGGGGTGGGTACTGCTTCTTTTTACATCTAAGACACAAGCCATTTCAATACTATATATCCCCCTGTTATGGGTTTTCAGACGCTTAAGAAACAGTCATAGTTTTCTCTCTAATCACATGAACAGCTGTAAAACCTATCATTCACTTATATAAGGTATCTTTCTCTTAAAAACAAGCCATCATCTAAATATTACAAAGTCTGTGTGATGCTACGCCCCATTTGTAGCGCGAGTAATCATGATAAACAAGGCAGTCCGAAAATGTAGGATGTCCGAGAACCTATGATCCAACAATATATATCAAACCTAAATAGTTCCCCAATGAGGCCCACTTAGGCTACATTTCAAACATAAATTCTCCCTGTCAAACCAAGCCCTCCCAGACTAAACCATACACACAAATATTCCATGTCAAACCAAGCCCTCCTAGACTGAACCATACACACAAATATTCCATGTCAAACCAAGCCCTCCTAGACTGAACCATACACACAAATATTCCATGTCAAACCAAGCCCTCCTAGACTGAACCATACACACAAATATTCTATGTCAAACCAAGCCCTCCTAGACTGAACCACACACATAAATATTCCATGTCAAACCAAGCCCTCCCAGACTAAACCATACACACAAATATTCCATGTCAAACCAAGCCCTCCTAGACTGAACCACATACATAAATATTCCATGTCAAACCAAGCCCTCCCAGACTGAACCATACACACAAATATTCCATGTTAAACCAAGCCCTCCTAGACTGAACCATACACATAAATATTCCATGTCAAACCAAGTCCTCCTAGACTGAACCACACATAAATATTCCATGTCAAACCAAGCCCTCCCAGACTGAACCACACACACAAATATTCCATGTCAAACCAAGCCCTCCTAGACTGAACCACACACATAAATATTCCATGTCAAACCAAGCCCTCCCAGACTAAACCATACACACAAATATTCCATGTCAAACCAAGCCCTCCTAGACTGAACCACATACATAAATATTCCATGTCAAACCAAGCCCTCCCAGACTGAACCATACACACAAATATTCCATGTTAAACCAAGCCCTCCTAGACTGAACCATACACATAAATATTCCATGTCAAACCAAGTCCTCCTAGACTGAACCACACATAAATATTCCATGTCAAACCAAGCCCTCCTAGACTGAACCACACACACAAATATTCCATGTCAAACCAAGCCCTCCTAGACTGAACCACACACAAATATTCCATGTCAAACCAAGCCCTCCTAGACTGAACCACACACATAAATATTCCATGTCAAACCAAGCCCTCCCAGACTAAACCATACACACAAATATTCCATGTCAAACCAAGCCCTCCTAGACTGAACCACATACATAAATATTCCATGTCAAACCAAGCCCTCCCAGACTGAACCATACACACAAATATTCCATGTTAAACCAAGCCCTCCTAGACTGAACCATACACACAAATATTCCATGTCAAACCAAGCCCTCCTAGACTAAACCATACACATAAATATTCCAAGTCAAACCAAGCCCTCCTAGACTGAACCACACACAAATATTCCATGTCAAACCAAGCCCTCCTAGACTGAACCATACACATAAATATTCCATGTAAAACCAAGCCCTCCTAGACTGAACCATACACACAAATATTCCATGTCAAACCAAGCCCTCCTAGACTGAACCACACACATAAATATTCCATGTCAAACCAAGCCCTCATAGACTGAACCACACACATAAATATTCCATGTCAAACCAAGCCCTCCTAGACTGAACCACACACATAAATATTCCAAGTCAAACCAAGCCCTCCCAGACTAAACCACACACATAAATATTCCATGTCAAACCAAGCCCTCCCAGACTAAACCACACACATAAATATTCCATGTCAAACCAAGCCCTCCTAGACTGAACCACACACATAAATATTCCAAGTCAAACCAAGCCCGCCCAGACTAAACCATACACATAAATACTCCAAGTCAAACCAAGCCCTCATAGACTGAACCACACACATAAATATTCCAAGTCAAACCAAGCCCTCTTAGACTAAACCACATACATAAATATTCCAAGTCAAACCAAGCCCTCCTAGACTGAACCACACACACAAATATTCCATGTCAAACCAAGCCCTCCCAGACTAAACCATACACACAAATATTCCATGTCAAACCAAGCCCTCCCAGACTAAACCACACACATAAATATTCCAAGTCAAACCAAGCCCTCCCAGACTAAACCACACACATAAATATTCCATGTCAAACCAAGTGTGGACCCTACTGGCAACCTGCCCTGACCAGACCAGACTTACGCATCCATTCTGTAGTCTGGTAATGATCGGTTGAGGGACATCATGTCGCTGGCAACAAGGTTAAACTGGTTGATCTTGAACTTGTCCTTGGCTTCAGCCTCCAGAGTCTTCGGGACAACAACTGCCTTCCCCATCTCACCAGGGCCGGTCGGAGACCGGTTGGGCAGCAGACCTGCATCAACAAGCAACGTTATAGCAAAGATGAAGAGGATTATCATTAAACCCCCCGCTTTTTATCAGAAATGAGCGGAGCACTGTAACTACATAATGCCCTCATATTGCTTGATGATGGGCCACTATCACGGCCATTGATAGGTGACGTCATAGGGATAGGGAAAGGTGACATCACGTTCAAAAGTGATGTCATCTGGTTTGTTCAATGACGTTTCCATATTTCATAAAGTGGGTCAGTGAAATTCATGTTGATTGCAGTAAATGTTTCAAAACTGATGTTGTTTATTTTTATTTGATAACAAGTTCTCCCCATTTTAGCTATATTAACGGTAACGCTATTTTTCAGGGCATTATCATTTGCAGAAGCCTTGCTTCTTCGGGCAGTTAATAGAAGACCTCGAGCTTCTGCAAATGAAAATGCCCTAAAAACTAGCATTACCCTTATAAGATCATACTGACAACCATTGCAGTGTTCCCGTTTACCGGTAATTGACCAGAAGCAGGGAAAATATTAGGCCCTTGCACCCCAATGGTGTCCTTCAACCCTTCAACCCTTCAACACGCGAGTGAGTGAGTGAGTGAGTGAGTGAGTGAGTGAGTGAGTGAGTGAGTGAGTGAGTGAGCAGGGTTTTATGCTACTACTTGTGTTTGGGTTGTTGTTTCTGTGGCTGGAAACTGTTTCGGTTGTGTTTGGGTAGTTGATTCCTAAATTACCGCATTTCTTGAGTATAATGTGAAGAGTCAGTATTTATATAAAACCTTTTTCGAGTATTATGTAAAGAATATATATTCTCTCATATACCTTCAGCTAATTCAGGTGAACGAACAGGTAATAACAACATTGGTCAATACAAACTTGAAATCAGAGATAATACATCTCTAGGCCTGATGGTTTATCATTTAAATTGTATTTCCTGTTCTGCTAGGCATTGTTTAATATGCAGAGATTAAGATTATAAGGACTAGTGGACAAAAACTGTTAGTTTCTATCACTGAATCCACAACAAATATGACTTTTAACAAGTCAAAGTATGGCATTTATGATAAATGTATCCATTCTCTGTCAACTAAAGTTTGTTTCAAGCATCAATAGTGGTGATGTGAACGTGATTGCTGTAAGTAACGGTGACTAGTGTGATCGACCGATCACTTCACACATGGTTTCTTTGAAATTCATGTAAACAATATGGAACAATATGGAATGTAATTTTGAATAAAATAAATATATATTACAAACGTAAGTCAAGATACAAAGACCACACTTTTTATAACCAGACTGTGTAATTACATGATTCCATTGCTTTCTTCAGTACAAATTGTTGACGTGGTATTTTCGGTCTTACACACTCTTTGCGTTCAGGGAAAAAACCCATCAAAACTGATTATGGCGTGAATAATGCGCACCCCCCTCTACACAGCTGTGTTTGTAGCAAGAAGTGTGCCCACTGTACTCAAGGAAATACGGCAGCTCTGTCGGCAATGTGACATGGCCCTGCGGCAGGAATCAGGCAAGTCAATCACCCATCGCTCCCTGCTAGCACATGATTCAGACCAATTAGTCATCTCCAACACAAGGTTGTCTTCCAGCATGGCGGTCATGGCAGGAAACTAAATTTCTCCACACACTTCACACCATGACAACTTGTCGGATGAGGATGTTAACAACATTGCCACACACAAAAAAAGTCTCAATGTCCGTGATCCCAGTATGTCAGCTGGTCGATGTCCAAGATGACGTTTAAGGACGTGTGTGTGTGTGATGGAGGTATTGTCTGTTGATTGATGAGGTGTGGGTGCGGATCATGATGTGCAACCACTCACTGTCCCAGTGATGGCTATATCCCAGTGATGGCTATAGCACTAGTGTGTGTGGCTATATCCCAGTGATGGCTATATCACGATTGTGTGCGGCTATATCCCAGTGATGGCTATATCCCTATATCCCAGTGATGGCTATATCGCTATTGTGTGTGGCTATATCCCAGTTATGGCTATACCCCAGTGATGGCTATAGCACTATTGTGTGTGGCTATGTCCCAGTGATGGCTATAGCACTATTGTGTGTGGCTATATCCCAGTGATGGCTATATCACTATTGTGTGCGGCTATATCCCACTGATGGCTATATCACTATTGTGTGTGGCTATGTCCCAGTGATGGCTATATCACTATTGTGTGTGGCTATGTCCCACTGATGGCTATATCACTATTGTGTGTGGCTATGTCCCAGTGATGGTTATATCACTATTGTGTGTGGCTATGTCCCAGTGATGGCTATATCACTATTGTGTGTGGCTATGTCCCACTGATGGCTATATCACTATTGTGTGTGGCTATGTCCCAGTGATGGCTATATCACTATTGTGTGTGGCTATGTCCCACTGATGGCTATATCACTATTGTGTGTGGCTATATCCCACTGATGGCTATATCACTATTGTGTGTGGCTATGTCCCACTGATGGCTATATCACTATTGTGTGTGGCTATGTCCAGTGATGGCTATATCACTATTGTGTGTGGCTATGTCCCAGTGATGGCTATATCACTATTGTGTGTGGCTATGTCCCAGTGATGGCTATATCACTATTGTGTGTGGCGATGTCCAGTGATGGCTATATCACTATTGTGTGTGGCTATGTCCCACTGATGGCTATATCACTATTGTGTGTGGCTATGTCCCAGTGATGGCTATATCCCTATTGTGTGTGGCTATGTCCCAGTGATGGCTATATCCCTATATCCCAGTGATGGCTATATCACTATTGTGTGTGGCTATGTCCCAGTGATGGCTATATCCCTATATCCCAGTGATGGCTTTATCACTATTGTGTGTGGCTATGTCCCAGTGATGGCTATATCACGATTGTGTGCGGCTATATCCCAGTGATGGCTATATCCCTATATCCCAGTGATGGCTATATCGCTATTGTGTGTGGCTATATCCCAGTTATGGCTATACCCCAGTGATGGCTATAGCACTATTGTGTGCGGCTATATCCCAGTGATGGCTATATCCCTATATCCCAGTGATGGCTATAGCACTATTGTGTGTGGCTATATCCCAGTGATGGCTATATCACTATTGTGTGCGGCTATATCCCACTGATGGCTATATCACTATTGTGTGTGGCTATGTCCCACTGATGGCTATAGCACTATTGTGTGTGGCTATGTCCCAGTGATGGCTATATCACTATTGTGTGTGGCTATGTCCCAGTGATGGCTATATCACTATTGTGTGCGGCTATGTCCCAGTGATGGCTATATCACTATTGTGTGTGGCTATGTCCCACTGATGGCTATATCACTATTGTGTGTGGCTATGTCCCACTGATGGCTATATCACTATTGTGTGCGGCTATATCCAAGTGATGGCTATATCCCTATATCCCAGTGATGGCTATATCACTATTGTGTCTGGCTATGTCCCACTGATGGCTATATCACTATTGTGTGTGGCTATGTCCCAGTGATGGCTATATCCCTATATCCCAGTGATGGCTATATCACTATTGTGTGTGGCTATATCCCAGTGATGGCTATATCACTATTGTGTCTGGCTATGTCCCACTGATGGCTATATCACTATTGTGTGTGGCTATGTCCCACTGATGGCTATATCACTATTGTGTGTGGCTATATCCCACTGATGGCTATATCACTATTGTGTGTGGCTATGTCCCAGTGATGGCTATATCACTATTGTGTGTGGCTATGTCCCACTGATGGCTATATCACTATTGTGTGTGGCTATATCCCAGTGATGGCTATATCACTATTGTGTGTGGCTATGTCCCAGTGATGGCTATATCACTATTGTGTGTGGCTATGTCCCACTGATGGCTATATCACTATTGTGTGTGGCTATGTCCCAGTGATGGCTATATCACTATTGTGTGTGGCTATGTCCCACTGATGGCTATATCACTATTGTGTCTGGCTATGTCCCAGTGATGGCTATATCACTATTGTGTGTGGCTATGTCCCACTGATGGCTATATCACTATTGTGTGTGGCTATATCCCACTGATGGCTATATCACTATTGTGTGTGGCTATGTCCCAGTGATGGCTATATCACTATCGTGTCTGGCTATGTCCCAGTGATGGCTATATCCCTATATCCCAGTGATGGCTATATCACTATTGTGTGTGGCTATGTCCCACTGATGGCTATATCACTATTGTGTCTGGCTATGTCCCAGTGATGGCTATATCACTATTGTGTCTGGCTATATCCCACTGATGGCTATATCACTATTGTGTGTGGCTATATCCCACTGATGGCTATATCACTATTGTGTCTGGCTATGTCCCAGTGATGGCTATATCACTATTGTGTGTGGCTATGTCCCAGTGATGGCTATATCACTTTTGTGTGTGGCTATGTCCCAGTGATGGCTATATCACTATTGTGTGTGGCTATGTCCCAGTGATGGCTATATCACTATTGTGTGTGGCTATGTCCCAGTGATGGCTATATCACTATTGTGTCTGGCTATGTCCCAGTGATGGCTATATCACTATTGTGTGCGGCTATATCCCACTGATGGCTATATCACTATTGTGTCTGGCTATGTCCCAGTGATGGCTATATCACTATTGTGTGTGGCTATGTCCCAGTGATGGCTATATCACTTTTGTGTGTGGCTATGTCCCAGTGATGGCTATATCACTATTGTGTGTGGCTATGTCCCAGTGATGGCTATATCACTATTGTGTGTGGCTATGTCCCAGTGATGGCTATATCACTATTGTGTCTGGCTATGTCCCAGTGATGGCTATATCACTATTGTGTCTGGCTATGTCCCAGTGATGGCTATATCCCTATATCCCAGTGATGGCTATATCACTATTGTGTGTGGCTATGTCCCACTGATGGCTATATCACTATTGTGTGCGGCTATATCCCAGTGATGGCTATATCCCTATATCCCACTGATGGCTATATCACTATTGTGTGTGGCTATGTCCCACTGATGGCTATATCACTATTG